CATTATTCCAAACTCTCCTCCTCTCTCTCTCCCTCCCCTCCCCCCCACATGGAGTAATAGAGATTAAGAGAATCACAGACTGTACGTAAGCGCCCAGCTGCAAAGCTTCTGTTTCATTGCACAGTGTGTACTAGAATTCTGCCCAGCAAGGCTCACAATGTCAACACTGATATATAAAACATGATAGATCAATTATTCTCCTCCATGTCTAGAGAGGCCATGGAATCTCCTTCACTGGAGGTCTTTAAAAATAGGTTAGACAAACTTCTGTTGTGGATGGCCTACATGTGCTCATCCTGCATCAGTACAGGGAATGAACCAAATGATGTCTTTAGGTCCCTTCCAGTACTATATGTTTTAGAACAAATGTTTTATTACTAAATGATGTAAAGGATCACCAAAATAGGTTCATCATACAAAAATAAAAACTGCTAGTAAAATAGAACCATATGAGCAGTCTATTCTACTTATGCAGCCTAGCCATCTTCCGGATCTGTTGACATTGAAAACTCAAGAGTAACAAACCTGATCAACTATGTCATTGACTTTATCCCTCTCACAGTCCAGAATCACTCGTCTTTCCTTTTTCACCTCCAGATCTTGAAACAGGGAACGGTAAGTCTCATCTTTTCTGTCATTGTTAATATTTCCTACATTGATAGCAGTTACTTGCCATTTCTTTTCAGCTGCAGAATCCAATACAGCTTGCAGGGTTGATAAGCCTAGCAAGGCAAAAAAAGAGGAATGATAAAGTGGCAAAAATAAAACAGGCACATGAAATGTGACCTACAAGGCAATTTATTTTAAACTCTTTATGACAATATGTTTGGCTATCAAACAGCTGTAGGATAGAACTCCCTAAGATGATGATGAACACAAGTCTCATTGTGCATTCCTGGCACATGCAAAACTTCTGTTTAAGTAACTGCAGTGAATATAGAATTGGGGCCTATAATGACAACCTTTTGTTTTTGCTTCAATTTAATTCAGGGAGAGATTATATCACCCTTCAATAAAAGCTTTCAATGGATTTTTGAGGTACCTACTTTGAAAAAGAAGCCGTTTAAGAGAAAACGATTTAATTACAGTAGCTGAATCAGTTGTTTATTACCAAATGCTATTGAGCTGCTTATGTCCCTGGTACTTGAGTAGCAATGTATTTAAACCTTGATCCAGTCCTGATGAAGTCAATATAGCAAAATTCCCATGTACTAATTGAGCCTCTATTTCTTTTGACTCCAATGGTATCTTGTTACAGAAGGTGTTCCTTCCTAAACCTAAATATCCTTAACATCCATACATGCAACCATTACAGTGGTCTGTTGCCATTTTATTTTTTCGGGAGGACATGGAAAAATGAATGCCTGTACAATTGTAGTAGCTTATAATACAATGCAAGTCCAGTGGAAATTTTACTGGGCTTCTTTCCCTGTTCAGGAAGTAAATGTGAACAGAACACGGAAACTTGATTCAGTGCCAGGAGTATATCTGCCCTATAAAAAAATGTATCTTCAACAATTTCCAGCAATTTCCAGCAATGAAATTTAGCATGTCTAAATTCTGTCCAGAGAATCCTAAGAAAAAAAATTAAAAATAGAATGTAATTTGTAGGATAATTTTCCACACAATCACTGATAACTCTACATCGTTCATCTCACTTGAAACTGTAAAATATAACTCGTCATTTCTGAATTGTGTCAATAAATTGAGCTTTACATTTTCTTTAAGAAAAATATATCTCTCATATATAAAGTAAGCTCCATACATAACTTAAAATAACAGGAGCTATGTGCATAATTTTGTAAGAAACACACTAAGGATGAAACTTGAATTATAATTTGTAAATGGATAATTAAACTAAGACTAGTATGCACTTAGCAATTTAAGCGTATCTGTAAAAATGGTAATATTATACAATGTTATAAAAGACTGGTAACCAGCCAATATATGGACAGGGCAGATTTTACAAACCTATACAATTCTGTCAAACAGTTGTATGCAAAGTCTACATGTGATCACTTGTATTTTGACGGATGTTAGATTTTTTAGAAATAACTAAACTCCTGTTGATAATCTAAACTATTTATAACATGTTGTGGTACAAGGTGTTATCAAAGCAAAAGGTAGCTCCTGTATGCAAAAAAGATTCAGAAAGTTAGAATGTGCTATGAGCAGTAGCAGGTTAACAGTTAATACCCTCTCTAACATGTACTGTTCAGACCTGCTGCTAGAGAGCTGGCGAACAGGGTTTGGTTAGGAGCTTCAAATCTGTTCCATGCCTGCCCTGCTTTCTGGTTCTCTAGCCACAGTATAGGCCCAGAGGGATGAAGGAAGGAGCTTCCCCCTTCCCTCCCCCCCATGCTGCTTTGACTGCTTCCATTTCCAGTT